GAGGCCCTGCTGTACGGTGACTGTGGTGAGGGAAGGCCCTGCTGTACGGTGACTGTGGTGAGGAAAGGCCCTGCTATACGGTGACTGTGGTGAGCTGAGGCCCTGCTGTACGGTGCCTGTGGTGAGCCGAGGCCCTGCTGTACGGTGCCTGTGGTGAGCCGAGGCCCTGCTGTACGGTGCCTGTGGTGAGCCGAGGCCCTGCTGTACGGTGACTGTGGTGAGCCGAGGCCCTGCCATACGGTGACTGTTGTGAGGGAAAGCCCTGCTGTACAGCGCCTGTGTTTTGAAGTGTATTTCCCAGCAGCCTGTGTTTCCTGAGCCAGATACCCGCAGACATTGTGGACATCAAGCCGGCCAACATGGAGGAGCTGACGGAGGTGATCACAGCGGCCGAGTTTCACCCCAATCAGTGCAACACCTTCGTCTACAGCAGCAGCAAGGGCACCGTGCGCCTGTGCGACATGAGGGCCTCCGCGCTCTGTGACAAGCACTCCAAGTGTGAGTCCCCGTCCCCTCACCCACAAACTCACACTCCCGTCAGGGCAGGGCTGTGCAGTCTCCCGCTGCACACACAAGCTCCTGCTGGAGAGTCGGAACTGCGCTGGGAAAATAGTCCCACACCGAGACATGTTTTGGGAAACCAGTGAACTGAAAATGCCTTTTCTTATCCTCCTCCACAACAAGGACAGTAGCAGCCATCTTGATCACTAAAATTGTGACATTGTCATAGACAGCCCCGAGGCTGGAGTGAGGAAGCCCCGTTGAATCTGCCCACCCCCAGAGCATTACAATATTAATTTTATTGTCATTTTGACTCTTTATTATTTCATTCGGCCATTAAGAGAAAGGGAGGCTTTCTGCCCCTCTCGCTTAAGGACTATTACAAATGACAGGCTCTTCTGGCCCTTAGTCATTAATTGATCTGAAAGATCTCATCTACACACTTCTTAAAGGAAGGCAGGGAATCGGCTTCAACCACGCAGCTGAGTTGCTCGTTCCATTCCACCACAACCTTTTGTGTCAACTAGTGCCTCTGTCCTGACTGGAGGATCTCACCCAGCTGTCTCTTGGAAGGAGCTAGGGTATCGGCATCAACAACAAGGCTGGGTAACACTCTTGCCACTCTTTGTGTAAAGGGGTGCCTCCCGTTCTCCATTTTAAATGTACTTCCACACAGTTTCCACCTGTGCTGTTTAACTAACAGCATCTTGACCCAGGAAAACGTCAAGTATCCCAGCAGCCCGTGACACTTCCCTACGGACAAATGTATGAATACTACGTACAATACTGCATACTAAGTATAATACAGGACTTGGTGCACAGCTGAACTGCAGCAGGGCAGTGCATTACCCATTATGCACTCTGTTTAGTACTGGTTTTAGAAGAAAATTGCCTTTATCTCCAGTGACACTGCAGTGCTACAGCGTGACCTGCTCAGTAAGAGGCAGTACAATGCAGTGAGTGGTGACCCAGTGACCCAGTGCATGCTGGTTCAGTGGTTCCTGTGCATTTTAATGGATTCCATTAACAAAACGGCGAGACACTGCCTAGATGCTAGGGGTCAATTGCTCAAACATGTTCTGGCTTGCTGGCCTCACTCCCCAACAAGTCTCCTGAGGTGGCTAATGAACTCATGGCCACCATGGAAAAAGGAGGTGCCTTCCCTAAATCACCCAGTAATAAAAAATGAGACTTGAAATGCACCACTCCCTGGGTGGCTGGGGGAGGAGGAGAGGGTGGGTTGTGCAGATGAAAGACTGCTTTTTACTGCTTTTGATTAAAGCTGTCAGTATATCTTACCTCCTCTTCAAATGTTAAAGAACCCCAAATATAACAGAAAATAACCCAGTGTAATTTAGCTTAACAGATGACCAATTTCCAAATCCTAGTGTCTATGGGGTTCTGGAGTTAATAAGGTTTTTTTTTCTTTTTTTCTGTGATCAGATTTTATGCAGCAATGAGCCGAAAACTTTCAGGTAGTAAAACGGCAAACCCACAAATGGTTTGATTCTGGAGAATCTTAGAAACATTTTTAATGGGCTTTACTGTGATTTATTGACATTGATTCAGGGAACTGTTTGCTCAGTGCTCCCTTTGTAGACTGTAGAAACCGACATTAGCATTTCAATTGAATTTCAAACACATTAGCAGCCCCGGAATGAAGCTGTGGTACTCATAAAATGGGTAAATATCATACAAAACAAGCCAAGGATTTTTGAGATAACTAATTTAGAGACAAGATACAATATTTATTTTAACAGCATTGAAGGGTGATGCAATTTATGTTTATTTGTTCTCCATTATTGCAGATACAGCTATGCTACATAATTTAAGGATATACTGTACTTGATGTTCCATTGCTTAGAAACACCTGTCCGTAACACGCAATGACAAAGTTGCATGTTCAGCTAAAATTAAGCTGCTAGAATTTTCAGGTTCTGTCACTATGGGCCACACTAAACTGTGTGATGTTATTATTTGACATTATTAGCAGAGCTGTCAGATGTGTCAGTTTGCTTGCAGAGATGCCAGCACTCCAAACAGCATTTCTGCTTTGTTGAAGACTATGAAACGTTCACATTTTGTACACATTCCTTCGAGGGGAGAGAGTTGTGGAAATTCTGTGGTCCCTCCTGTCTCTGGGGCCGGGGGGCGGTCATGAGAGGGAGAAATGTATAGGACTAGATGAAGGGTTAGCAGAACTGGCACAAATACGCCAGTGGCACTTTTTCTGTGACACACAGCACCACTCACTTTATAGACACTTCCTGTGGTGCTGCAGGGAGTATCATTGTATGGAGGGAGGGTGCAAAATTAATGCTGCATAATGGGTTTTACGCTGTGTGTAAAGCACAATGGATTTAAACTTGTGGGCAGGAAAAATATTCCCCCCATTCTACTTCCTCTCTGCCTCTCAGAGGTTCTTTTTGTTGCTACAGAAAGCACCGTGCTGAAAGTTGGAAGTGCGCATATCCATATTAATGACACGCAGCCGCGCATTCACCCACGCTGCCGTGGGTCACCACCCAGTGAGCGGCTTGTCTTGATAATGGTTCCGTCTTCTCTCCCGTGTCGCTCACAGTCTTCGAGGAGCCAGAGGACCCCAATAATAGGTCGTTTTTCTCCGAAATCATCTCCTCCATTTCGGACGTCAAGTTCAGCCACAGCGGGCGGTACCTGATGACGCGGGACTACCTCACAGCGAAGGTGTGGGACCTCAACATGGAGAGCAAACCTCTGGAGACCTACCAGGTGACTGCGCCCCTCTCCCTCTCTCCCTCCGGCAGACAGGAAAGCCCCCCTCACGTGAGGCGTACAGAACAGAGTCATTACTGAGCGAAACCTGTGCTCTGAGGGCCATCTGCAGCTCTGTGACCACTAATTCACCCCTCCATATACCCAGTTAAATGCTGGGTTTGTCGCCAGTGCGATAAAGAAAGAACCCTAGCACACAGACCCCTTAGCCCTCCTCCAGACAGTTTGAGCCACTCTGAGGATTTGATAGAGACCCCTGCTGGCCAGGAAGAGCACTGCCGGTGTCTAAAGATACAGTTTAACAGACTAACGGGGGAAGGGTTCTCATTATTGCCGAATTAATGATTTGAACACATTAATACAATATATAAGAAAAAGATATATACTATATATGTGCTTTCTGGATCTTTTTTAACAATTACAGTCAACACAATCATTGAAATTTGTGTGCCATTTTTATCATAAATATAGAAACTCTTTATATCATGTATAATGTATAATAATTTGCTAAAGCTTACAAAAAACAAACACACATTGCAAGAAATTGACCTACCACTTATAGGGAGTCATATTCCAGGATTTTAAACCTATGTAGTATTTATTTTTAACTTGTTTCATTTTTGGTGCATTTCCCCATTATTGCAGGGAAAGTTCAGTATTTCTGATTTTAAACAGTACTCCTGTTCACACGATTTTGGCCATTAAATCCAAAGGCTATCTAACTAAAGGTTTACTGTACTGTGCACCCACTGATAGGAACTTTCTGTTTTCAATGTTTAGGTATCTCCATAAGCAGAAGTATTCAAATTCTCGCAAAACAGCCTTTTTTTAGGCTTTTGTGGTCTCAAAACTGTTTAAAATGGGTTTTGTAGAGTAATGGGTTTGTGGAAGAAGCTGGTGTCACTATCTGTCTCCACCCGCCCCAGCTGGAGGCAAGAGGGTAAAAAGACACCCGTGTTGCACAGGGGTCACATCTACAGTATACTGTGGGGAGTCCCCTCAGACTGTCTCTGGATCTGACCAACTACAGTAAATGCTTTTCACATCAGTGGGTCTTTGTGAGGTTTGTGAGAACCCCACACAAATACAGAACGTGCAAACTCCACATAGACAGACACCCCAAACCCAGGAAACAGCAGTGCCACCCACCACTTCACCACCTCGAAAGTGCCATGCTGTCTCACACTTTCCTCTCTCTCTCTGCTGGTGCCCAGGTCCATGATTACCTGAGGAGCAAGCTGTGCTCGCTGTACGAGAATGACTGCATCTTCGACAAGTTTGAATGTGTCTGGAATGGGTCTGACAGGTTAGTCGTCCATTTGTTACCTGAGCTGTCTGCAGCGGACACATTTTGAGCAATAAACAAACCAAAAAATCATGAATAACAGTCACAAAATCTCAATCTTTTATCTCTGTATATCAGCATCTTGCTATCTTATATAGGTTAGTAAAATCCTGGTAGATAGTAAGGCTTTTTGTAATAACCAATTTGACTGTTTAGCAGGTTCTTTAAAGGTTTGGAATGCAAATGAGACAAATGTGAAAAGAAAAATATTAATTTTTGAACAACAACATCAAATATTATCCACCCAGTTATTTTCCAGTCCAAGAAGGTAGCTGTGTCAGCATGCATAGGCTGCAAAGGAACAGGTAAAGGTTTATTCCATACTGAAAAGAAAAGAGACACAACGTTTCAGCTGTGGGGCCTTCTTCGGGTGTGAGGGAGCGAGAAAAACCGGCAGTTGATAAAGCAGGAGAGAGCAAAAGATAGGAGTTGAGAGGAGGCAGGAGCAGGAGAGAAGCAGTGGACACTCAGGTGGTGTGAAGCCGAGAGAGGATTAGAAGGAAACAAGTCTGTAGTTGAGAGAAGGGAGGTGTGATCCTCATGTCAGGATCATTTTGATTTCGGATGTCTTTCTGGAAAAGGAGTTCCGAAACCCCTCTGTGAGAACACAGATGGAGAGATCAGTATGGTCATGATTTTTCAGGGAACGTGTCAGGGCTGTGAGGATCAAAGACCTCTCCAAACCCATAGTTTCCCATTTCACCTCTAACGATTTTATGTTCATGGGGTAATGTACTTGCTCGTGATGCGGTGAAGTTTGTTTTCCTAATATTAATGTATTTCTAGATCTAGATAAATGACAAATAACCAAGTTGTTTTAGATCCTGAAAGATCCGCCCCCACCCAGCGCGACACGGCCGTATTATCTAATGTCTTGTGTTTTTTTTTAATCTCGCAGTGTGATCATGACGGGCTCCTACAACAACTTCTTCCGGATGTTTGACCGCAACACCAAGCGGGACGTGACCTTGGAGGCGTCCCGGGAGAACAGCAAGCCGCGCGCCGTGCTGAAGCCGCGCAAGGTGTGCGTGGGCGGCAAGCGGCGCAAGGACGAGATCAGCGTGGACAGCCTGGACTTTAGCAAGAAGATCCTGCACACCGCCTGGCACCCTGCCGAGAACATCATCGCGGTCGCCGCCACCAACAACCTCTACATATTCCAGGACAAGATCAACTAGCGCTCATCCAAGATGGCCGCGCAGGCAACTGCAGCAGCTGGCAACCTGGAAAAAAAAATATGAAACGACACCCCCTTTTCCCCTGTGTTCTTAAGCAAGCTCTCCTCCTTACACCCGACGCTGTGATCCTGCCTGAATCGGCAGCAATGAGGCGGAGGAGTCCTTCTGAAGGGGAGCGAATGTTTGAAAATTAAAAAAAGCAGAGAAACTGGCCTAGCTCTGCTGTGACAAGAGGTGCTGATTGGTCGCCAGTGTGAATTGGAGGCAACCGGCACAACCATCCCTTCACTTTGTAACTCCGTTATTTATTTTATTTATTCATCTTCTGACCTTGGGGTGCACTGTTTTCGTTCACTCGCCTGGCGAGGGCCGGATTGTATGACTGGAAAAATAAAAACAAAATGTAGCAGTTTGCTATTTTTTTCTAAACTCAAAAAAAATAAATAAAGATGATTAATAAAGCGAAGCGTTTTTTTGGGGCGGCCTGCTGCTCAATGATGTTTTCAGTACTGAGGCGGGGGAAGCCAACGGTGTCAGAAACCTAAGAAGTTCAGAGTTCAGCCATGTCTCCCGCCCTCCCTCACTTCTCCCGGCTCCTGCTTTGACACTGGGGAAGGGCAACAAAATTTGAATGGACAGGGTTTCTCCCCCCAAAACCTTCCCACCCTCACCACCCCCGTTGCTTTGTTCTGAAAACAAGAAGCTGTGGTGCCTTTTTCTGCTATTTCCATTCACGCTGGTTGACGAAGGCTTCCATAAACTCTCGTTCTGCTTCGGAACCGCAGGGCTGCTGACGGTGTCATTGTGCGGAGGCCCAGGACGAGGGGGGGGATTGGGGGGGAGTCTGTCCAAGGCGGAGTTCCCGGGTTAGGGTGCGTCTTCTGGGCGCTCCGCTCTTCTACTGATTCTGGAGCCCCTGCAGCTCAGAGATGCCCAAAAAAAAAAAACCCGTAGGCGAGGGGTTGTGATTCATCACAGCAGTGAGGTCAAGCGAAAGAGGTTCTAATTTCGGCGCAGGAGCCGACCTGTTGGGTGGTATCCCGCTCATACGGCTTGCACTTCTGTGGTCGCCACGTTGTTAATGACGCGCGCTTTTGCATCATCAAATTTAAATTTCTGCTTAGAACTATGTTACGCAGTGTGGGTAAGATAGAGGAGCCCAGCAGACGTTTCACTTCGATGTCTAAAAACGCAAACCAATAATCTGCTGGAGCCAAAATGTTACAGGTTGCCCAATGCTACGTTACGAATACAGGACACTTACTGCACCTCCAGAATCAGCTCCGATTGACGTCGTTTTGTATCGCTCGTCACGTTAATTCTGCACGCACTCATGATTTCGGTTTCTGTGGATTTTTTTTTCTTTGTGCTTATTTTGTTTTCTTTTCCATGTCCTCCTGTTTAATTTGTTGATGTATTGTTTTGTTTTGTTTTGTTTTGTTTTGGTGAGGGGTCGGGCGAGTTAACCTGTGTTGTTGTTCGCTGCTAATGTCCTTCATGTGCTGTCACAGTTGTTTTAGGCGGCTGCTGCCGCGGGCTCCCCGCTTGTCCGTACCGGGGGGCGGCGAGGCTCGGCTGGGGATGTGCGGGGAGGAGCTGGGGGGAGGCTCGGAAGAAGATGATCTCGCAATGTAGCCTAACCCGTGACAGAGGTTCTATGATATCAGGGAATTTTAGGTACAATTCCTTAAAAAAAAAACAGACGTCTTCTAAACAACTAAGGTTGTAAACGTCCTAGCAAAACAAAGTTTTATAGCTCCGAATGTATTTAAATGTATTTAATTGTCATGCAGTCTTTATGCTTACTAGATTCCTTGAAGTAAAAAAAAAAACAAAAAGAAAAAAATGATGTGAGTTGTAACTAATAATCGCTGTGGATGTCTCTTCTTTATCTTTTTCTTTCCGGTGAGGGCTTCTATAGCCACTTCTCACACACAAACACACACACACACCCATCCACCAGCACTTAAGGAGAACAAACTCACAATTTACCTGCAGCAAAGCGCAACTGCCCCCACCTGCTTGGTTCCTACAGACACACACAGACAAGAAAACAAAAGGGCTGGAAAAATCAAACCAGCGCCTCGGGCACGGAAAAAGTAGAGCCAAGCTTCTCTGTGGACACTTGCACCAGAGACCAGGGGTTTGGCCCTAGGGTTGCAGGGGTATTTACTCATGTGTTGGTGGTTCGAAAAGAGTTAAGACCCATAAGGAAGCACCATCATAATATTATTTCTTCTATCAAAGGAAAAACACTGGGATCTGAGTAAATGTAACACTGATTCTAGACAGTCCTGAGCCCTCATGACCCAGTGCAAGGATGAAACCCTTCTTTTGCATTAGGCACTCAAGGACAGCTTATTTAACAATATATTTCCCTGCATTCGATACATCTTAAATTGGAATCATGGCTGCAGCCGTGGTCTGTGGTGTTTCTTGTCCACAGCAGGCTCAGATGTCTCGGAGACACCCCCCATACAGCCCGCC